CCGTCGCTCTGACCAAGTTGCAAAAACGAGATCAAACCGACAACTTTTTAATTAGCCTAGTATACGTTTAAAAAGATAGATTTTGACTTACGAAAACTTGATAGAGCCATTGAATACCTCCTGCCAATCAATGACACGCGCTGGCCAATCTGTGAGAGATCCAAGTTTATTGTCCATAGACAAAAGAGGACGGCCTTTGAAAGTATAAGTAGTAAATATTATGCGACGGAGTAATTTTGGCTGACGGAAAATTCCACCTGAAAAAATGTAGGTAATAAAACGTCAGGTTATAAAAGCGGCATCAAGCCAGGGATAATGGACTAATATATTTAGATTTGAAAGACTCGGAAGTTAAGAAAAACAGGCTTAATGAGATGAAAACGTCAATGAATGGGATAAGTGAACTATATTTAAAGCAAATAAAACAGGAGCAACAAATTTTGTGGGATTATTTAATTGATGCATGTGGTTAAAAAACGACCAAATCACAGACTTCATCTTTTGAACAACTTAGGTGAATGGATGAGTGGACGTTCGGACTTATGAATGAGCACGAGCGCACAAGCTTAAAAGGAAGGAAAAATACTTAAACTCAGGACCTTTTGGGTGCTGGGATGTTCTACCAGTCGAGTCACATGAATAGGCCAATTGGGAGAACTACGTAGGTAGGAAAAATGGACGGAAATGAGAAAGTTTTAGATGACCTACTGCGAGAAAAAATATGACCCCTGCATCAAAGGGGTTAATATAAACAGATAGCTCTGAATAAAAAAGCAAGTGGAAATATAAAATGATATCATCTGACTGAGCGTCTTAGCCAGATGACAGCTCTCAAATCCATTTTCTCGCTTACCTAAAATGACATATTTGATTACCCCCTTGCGACCCTTTTAAACTTTCCTATTACTAGTGTATGCAGCTATTTACAGCTTAATTTTAGCTCTCCTTACCATTCAGGTAATTTTGGCTTACCTTATATTTTCTATAATTATACTGGCGCCAAATTCAAGCCTCGTTCAGAAGAGGCACGAACATTTATTAGACCACATAAACCCTTTTAAAAATCATGGTTCCAAAATCTTATTCTCTTCTTCCTATATGCATCCACTTTTATCACATCATACTCCTTTCCGCATGAACTTATAGTCCCCTCTTATAACCCTCATCCCTTACTTTCTTTTGTAATGAAAAAGCATTTGCTAGCATGGCCTGTAAATTCCATGCATACAGTTTTTGGGCCATTGAGGCGACCACTTGATCAACTCCACTATGACTAGACTAGGAAGTGATTATCTCTGCAGAAAGAGAGAGAACTACTGAATAAAATGTTAATTTCTCCTTATACATTGTTCTGATGTCCACTTCCTCAATAGCTCAATCAAATATTTTGTAAGCTAACAGAAAGACAAATGAAATAATCGAGTAGGATAGTTTAACTATCGATCCCACCCCAAATAGCAATCTTCCCTCATCTTTTTACTGCCAATTTAAATTTAATTATCTACTGATCCTAATTGGTAATTGTCCTGAAACAAAATATGCCTTAATCTACCTATATCCTGGTCACTTTGATTTACGTTTGCTAAACGCAGACACCTTATTATAATACATTTAATATCTCTTATTCTAACTCTATATATATGATTCAAAAAGAAATTAAAAGGGAAACCCGCATTTGTGAGTTTCCTACCCACGTTTCTGTCAAACAGATCACTTGCTTTACTCACTAATAAATCATTTTCTAACTATATAGTAAACCAAATATCGGCATCTATTCTATTTCAGTAGCTTAAGGAATTCATATAAACTATCTATGCCGTCGTTTGACCTTGTTTTCGCAACTTATTCATATTGGTAGAAAGACCGTTGTGGTATCTCTCCTTCTGCCCTGGGCTATTCACATTTCCTGTATGTTGCTCAAAGGAGCACATCACACTACATCGAAATAAGCACGGTAAAATTGTAACAGGAAAGGCATAATAG